TGGGGAATGTAGGCAGTCTCCTCCCCTGCAGTTTACAGACTCTGACAACCTGCTGGAGGGTCAGCTGAGTCCACAGCAATGAGACTGAGTCGGAGGGTTTTATTTTCTCTTCCAGGATCCCAGCGGTCCCCTTGGAAAGTCCTTCTACTTCAGAAGCTAATCCTGAGGGGCATTACCACTCGACAAGCTCTGACCCAGACCCGGTGGCAGACAGAGAGGGCAGCCCCGCCTCAGGCAGCCCCTTTCAGCTCACAGCTTCCTCGGATGAAGACATTATTGACTTGAAATAGAGTCCAAATCTTGTTTGCCATCTTTAATTTTCTTATGGAGGTTTATACACTTTCAACACTTCTGACGTCATTCTCACCAAAACGTGGCTCTTAGCCTGTCAGTGATCTATGGACCAAATCTTCTGCACATCCGACCAGTTTGGGTCACTTTCCAATGTCTGGTGCCATCTTTCTTGACCCTGTTTCTTTCAGTTTAGAAACCATCAGTCCCCTTGTAATAAAGGTGGTAGATTTCATTGAAGTTTTAGATTGAAACTTTGAATAAATAAAAAATATCCATTCTTATTTACTGCAAGCTTCTCTTCTGTTTCATATACTTAGATGCAACTTTTCTTTCTCCTTACAGTCTTAATTTGTGGCACATATCGTGATTCTTTTTTAATGGAAAGTCTTTGCTTTTAAAATTTATGATAAATAAGGGGGTTTCCCTGCACTGTTGGCCCTTGTTGCTGTCTCAGTTCACTGTGATAAAAGAGGGAAGGTGAGATCCTAGAAATCCTTCTTCCTGTGGGAAGGAAGGAAGCCCGCCCAACCAAAAAACCCTAGGCCATTTTCAAGAGTCCTAAGATTGTTGATTTCATTTTACTGTTATTCTAAAGACATAGGCAAGAAACTCCATGTAATCAAAATGACTGTTCTCAAATGCTCTCCTCTTGTTTGGGTCTACCTTGCCCTTTTACATGAGCCAAAAGATTTTCTTTGTAAGTTTCATTTTATCTATTCTCTCTCAAAGTGAGAAGAAAGAAAACATGATGGGGCAAGTCAAAGGAAATCATGAACTGACAGCCCCTAGGCAGGGAAATCAGAGGGGATGGGGAAAGAAGAACCTAGCATCATTGACATTGTTTGCAAAAAAAATTAATTTGTGTGAAGAGGTCATTTTCTTTGGCTTTAATCTGACTGATCCCATTTTATTAATTTATCATATATATTATCTATTAAAAATCCCCAAAACTTTAAATAACATATCCTGCGGTAAAGCAACTCTACTTTTTTTATAGGACTCCAGAGTAAGTTAGAACTGTGTTTGGCAGGAACTCTATATAATTAATGGATGTGCTGGTGGCCTAGTGAGTATGGAGTTGTGCTGCCAACCCAAAGGCAGATGGTTCAAATCCATGAACTTCTCCATGGGAGAAAGATGAGCAGGTCTCCTCCCATGAGATTTATAGCCTCTGAAAAGCTACTGGAGGATCAGCTATGACTTGGTTTCAACTCCATGACAATTAGGATGAGTGTTCTAATAAACATATTTTACTGGTGTTTAGATCCCACCTCTTGTGGCTCTTGCACACCATGGGGAGAGTTACTGGTTGCTGTTTATGGCACAAAGAAAGAGGCAAGAGCAATAAAGAAACCACGTTTAAGATATACCCAGATAGGGCTGTTTTTTTTGGTTTTTTTTTTATGCGTGTACCGTCAAATTGGATCTGACTGGTACAGGAGGCGACTGTTCCTCCTTCTTCAGCAGAGCATCTGGTGGATTTGAACCGTGCACTTCTGGGATTGCAGTGCAGTTTCCTGCCACTAGGCCACCAGAGCTCACCTATAGGGCTGTTTTTAACCGAATATGCTTTATCTAATTCCTTGCAGCATTCACTTTTACCTTTGTCTTTTGTACATAGAGGGTTAAGCACAAATCAACTATATATACACAGATCTCAATCCCACCAGCAGTTTAGTGAATTCAGTTTTAATATTTATGTTTTTCAAATGAGCAAATGGGCTCAGAAGGGACAGTGATTTGAAACATGATTCCTCCCAATATTGGACCCATGTTCTCCATCCACCACAGAGATCTGGGCTGAGCCCCTTTCATCTGATGGGTCTGGCTGGTATTTTTAATGGTGAAGTAGTAAGTTTTTACAGCTTGTTATTGTGTATTTCCTGTTACCTTTTTTCCTACCTCTGAAGTTCCTTTGCTTCTCAGCCTGGAATAGGAAACCAAAGGTTCTTTAACACATTCTTCAAGGGGATCAGGCATATTATAGCCACCTCATGATATGACAAGAGTCTTAGATCTGAGGAGTGAATGTAGCAAGGGCAGAAGGTAGGCCCTACTAATCACGCTGATGGTGCTTTGCTTATTGAAAGGGTGGAAAGCTGTTCTATCAGCAGCATCTGCTTACAAAGACTGCACTCGAGGAAGACAGCCAAGTCAGAGGGTGGGAAGAAGTTTGTGGGGCCCCACAGCTTAGTGTGCTGGCTGAGCTTGCTCAGTTCACGTAAACATCCTATCTGCACAACCCAAAAGCCACTGCCTGAGTTAGAGAATAAACCATTTCTCACGGCAGCCTTTTGCTCACAGCTTTTTGAGGCATTATTCCACTCTGCAAACCCCAAGTGTCTACAGTCCACAGGACATGGTGTCCAGTGGAGGAGGGTGACCAGTGAACAGATGATTATAAAACAGTGATAAGTGCTGTGGTAAGAATTTATAACTTGAGCACAAGATCTATGAAAGCACGTAGGGATGGCTGCCTAAGTTTTGCAATCAAGGTGGAAGAATGTTGATTAGACAACAATACCATCAGCTGATTGCACTCAATCAAACAATTATACCGTCAGGAGGCACCTTTTGAATGCTCCCCATGTACCTGGTTTTTCACAAGTATACCTATTCACAGCTCTTCTAGAAAATAGCAATTCTCACCACCACTTACAGTTGAGAAAGCAGAGGCCAGATAAGATCAAGCCTTTTACTCCCACAGTCCTTGTTCTTTGCCAAGTAACATGTAACTCAACAACTGCCTGCACGCAGTATTGTGCTGCAAGCAGGGAGATCCCACTGACCGGCTCATCACTTCCATCAGTGACTTGGATATAGATGTGGAGAGGTTGGCCATTAGACAGCAGTTTCCTGCTGGAAGATAGTAAAATGGAGATTCAAGAATTACGTTACCTATAAAGTAGGTGGAATTTAACAGAACACGGAGCTCACCATTTATGCCCATATTACACAAATGAAGCAAAGGAGTCCTGGTCTAACATAGTTTCCAACACCTTAATGCTTTAGTCATTGTCATTTCTGCTGTTGTTAGATGCTGTTGAGTATGTAGTACTAGTAGTGATCCTATGAAGAGGGTGAAGCTAGGCTGCTCCTTGGAGGCAAGGATTCTAAGGCTTCATCTGACATACTTTGAGCATGTCGCAAGGAGGGACTGATCCTTGGAGAGGGACATCATGCTTGGAAGGGTAGAGGGACGGCACAAGAGGGAGATCATCGATGAGATGGATTAACATAGTGACTGGGGTAATAGGGGTAGGTGTGTTGGAGACAGTAATGTTGGCACAGGATAGAGCAGGTTTCAGGGCTGTTGTACATAGGTCGTTAAGGGTCACAAGCAACTCAACAGCCCATTAACAACAACATGAACAACAGATCTGAACCATGTCCTATCCTGTGCCATTCTCATCATCACTGACATACTTTGCACCCCATTGCAGTAGTCACTATGTCAGTCCATCTTGTGAAGAGACTTTCTCTCTTTCTTTCTCTGACCCTCCACCTTTCCAAGCATAATGTCTCTCTGCAATGATTAGCGTCTCCTAGCAACATAATGACAGTATCAGGGATGATGCTTTGTCATCCTTGCCTCCAAGGAGCATTCTGGCTGCACTTTCTCCAAGACATATATTTATTCCTTTGGTAGTCCATGGAATATTTGATACTCTTTTCCAACACCACCGCTTAGAGGCATCAATTCTTCTGTCATCTTTATTCACTCTCCAGCTCTCAGAGGTGATTGAAAAGACCATGTCCTGAATCGGGCACACCTTAGTATTAAAACAGACATAAAAAAAAACCCAACAGACATCATTGCGTCTCAGTAATTTGGAGCCCTGACAGTGGGCTTGCTCAATGTCATACATCTCTTGAGCACCTGACTTCTGATTCCAAGGGTGTTGACTGTGGATCCCAGTAAGATGAAACCGTTGACAATATCAATCTTTTCTTCAAATATCATAATGTTGTTTATTGGTCCAATGGTAAGCGATTTTTATCTTTTTGATGTTGCGATGCAATCTCTATTGCAATCGGAGAGAACCCCTAGTCCTGAGGATGGGCTGAGGCAAACCCGCAGGAACACCGAGTCAGTGTTGGCGTCCTAGAGGAAAGTGGCAGCCCCACAGTCCGTGTGAAGACCTTCTACCCCGTAGCTCTCAGCGGCCAGTGCTGGGACAGATGCCAAGGCCCCAGGAAGCGGTTAACACAGAGAAGAAATTGCTGACACAACCAAGCTGGACAGTAGTAGCTGGAATCCGGATAGACTACACCCGGCAAGGGCCCACGTGCTCCGCCTTAGCCCAACCCAGCGCGCCGAAAGGCGGCTCCAGGTCCCCCGCCCCCATCTTCATTGGTCAACTCAGCTCTAAGGCAAATTTTTGACCGATTCTGAACTCGCACCACAATCCTATTGGATAGTTATGCCCCATCAAACTCCGCCCCACTTACACATTGGGTAGCTCTGTTCTAGGGGCGGTCTTATACCTATTATGCCCTTCTATTGGTCTGCTTTACCTGAGGGGCAGTCTCTAGCCAGAGGCTCATCTCGGTTTTTATTTCCATTGGCCCTTCTGCCATTCTCTAATTCTGAAGGCCCGCCCTAGAGCCTCCCCTCACTGTTGTGAGAGGCGGGTGTCCACGACATTCGCGGGACCTGTGGCAGTTCAGGTATCAGAGCGAACAAACGCGGGTTGACAGAGATCATGACCCCCGAGGACACGGAGGAAAGTCAGCCGCTCCTGCGGCCGCCCAGCGGCAGGTGAGCGGGCAGCGGGGCCGAAGGATCCGCTTCGCTCACCGCCCCTCCCCCTGCTCCGCGCTGCTTCACCCGCTCACGGCTCTGTCCCCGCAGCTTCCCCCGCAGCCGCCGCGTCTTCCTCGCTGCCTTTGCGGCTGCGCTGGGCCCACTCAGCTTCGGCTTCGCGCTCGGGTACAGCTCCCCGGCCATCCCGAGCCTGCGGCGCGATGCCCCCGCAGCCCCGCGCCTTGATGACGAAGCCGCCTCCTGGTTCGGGGTGAGACCCCGGGGCCTCTTCCCCTCCAGCCCTTGGGGCGGGCACGGGGACCCTGCCCTGTCCACCCTGTCCCTCTAGCCCAGCCGCCCTCTCCACTCGCTCCTTCCGGACACCGTGGGGTGGAGGAGGGCGAGGCTGGGCTCTGGCCCTCGGTCCTCAGCCTGCTGTCCGCCCACCTCCCAGGCGATCGTGACCCTGGGCGCCGCGGCGGGGGGCGTGCTGGGCGGTTGGCTGGTGGACCGCGCCGGTCGTAAGCTGAGCCTCCTGCTGTGCACCATGCCTTTCGTGACCGGCTTTGCTGTCATCACCGCAGCCCAGGACTTGTGGATGCTCCTTGGGGGCCGCCTCTTCACAGGTCTGGCCTGCGGTATTGCCTCGCTAGTGGCCCCGGTGAGTGTCCCCCTGCTTTGTGACCCGGACCCGAGGCCAGGGAACAGGGAATAGGGCGTGGCTGGTCCTGGCTGTAGCCACCAGGTTATGGAGCCTTCTGTACACCAGACTCCTTAAGGCTCACCCTCATCACAGACGGTGGAAAGGAGCCAGCTGTTATTAGCCCCATTTCACAGGTGAGACAGAGCTTCCCAAACTTGAAGTCTTCTCCTCAGGCAGGACCTACAGCCAATCCATAGGGAAACTGTTGCTTGAGTCCAGGATTGTCCAACCTAACTCTGCCTCATGCTTTACGCACTTGATGACTGTTCTTCCTGTCATCCAGAACCCAAGACAGCTGAACAATCTCATTCTAACTTCTGGACTACTAAAGTGTGGATTTGGGTTTGTCTAGGGGGAAGTTAGAGAGCTCTGGTGGCCTAGTAGCTAGAAGCTGTGCTGCAATCCCAGAGGTTTACAGTTCAAATCCACCAGCTGCTCTGCCGGAGAAGAATGGCCAGTCTCCTCCCGTGTGGTTAGCTGCCTCTGAATACCCACCAGAGGGCCAGCTGTGGTTCTGACTTGATCGTACACAACAACAGTGGAAAGTTACACTAGCCTCTCCACTTCCTGCCCAGCCTCCCCTGACCCAGAGATGCAAAGGCCAACTGGGGAAGCATATACCTGGGCTTGAATCCCAGCTCTGCCACCTCCCTGGGCAGGATGCTTCTCTGAGCCTATTTCTTACTTTGTGAAATAGAACTGATGGAACGTTACCTCAGGAGGCGGTTATAAGGAGTCTATGGATCCTTGCACATAATATTTGTGGAGGTGCATGGACCCCAGCAGCTAACTGTTACCGGGTAGCCAGTGAACTGCTGCTGGCAGTGAGCTTGAAGGATGAATCATCCACATCCCAACTTGGTCAAGACTGAAAATAGTCGCACAGGATCCTCCCTGATCATAGTCATTGGCCTAACCTCCATCACTACCTCCCAGAAAAACCCAGCAAACAACCTAAAACCCAAACCCACTATTGTGGAGTCAATTCTATAGGATTTTGTAGACACTCAGGGTTTCCAAGGTGGTAACCACCACACACCATCTTTCTCTGTTGGAGCTGCTGGTTTGTTTGATTAGCAGCTAAGAACTTTAACCACTGTGCTACTAGGACTTCTGGGCCTGTTAACCCACTGCCATCAATTCATAAACACCCACCAGGTTTCTGAGGCAATAAATCTTTACAGAAGGAGACTTCCCATCTTTCTCCCATGGAGTGACTGCTAGATTTGAACTGCCAACCTTTAAGTTAACAGCCTGATACATTACATACTACACCATCAGAGCCCTTCCTCATGGATGCAGAAGAGTGGGCAATACCCTCCTTGACTCCCAAAGGAGTACTGACAGCCACTGATGGAGATGAGGCTGAAAATGCTTGGTTTTCACTCCACCAGCATCACCAGCTTGGATAGTTCTAAATGCAGAATCCCAGGACCCACCCAAGATCTACTGAATCCAAATTGATACTTTATCAAAGAGATTCTCACATTCAAGTTTGAAAAATACTATACCTTCTCCTCTTCCCTTACACAGTAACCAAGCACATTATCTTAATCCCCTTTATACATGCAGATATTGAAGGGTGGGTGGGTGCATGGAGGTCAGTGTTAACCTGGATCATTATAATTAGGGACCTGTGGGGTCACCAGGGGCCCAAAGTAGAATTCTGAGATCTTAGAAGCAAAGTTAACTCTCATCTTAATTGCCAACAGGTGTATATATCTGAAATTGCGTACCCAGCTGTTCGGGGGCTGCTTGGCTCCTGTGTGCAGCTGATGGTCGTCACAGGCATCCTCCTAGCATACTTGGCAGGTACAATTTTCACGTTACCTATTTTGAGAGCTTGTTTGGAGGTCCTAATAAGAGAGCACAGCTACACATATACCCTTGACTGGAGGATGGTCCTCCTATCTGGGAACATCATCCTCTTCACCCAAGTACACAGCTTCAGGAGGGCTGCACCTGTGAGGGAGGAAAGGGCCACCTGCCTAGCCAGCCAGATCAGCCAAATCAACCCCAACAATCAATGGGGTGACAGATGTCACAGCCAGATCACCCTCACATCCCACATTTGAGCCTTGAAAGTGGCCAAGTGATCATTTTACAGATAAAGGACCTGAGGTACAAGGAGGCTAATAGACTTGCCCAAGGTCACACAGTCAGTAGCCAAGGTGTATTGCTTCCCTGGAATCTTGAACACATCGATCTCTTACTGAGTTCTAAGGAAAGCTTACAGAAATGGAATAGAAAAGTGGTGGTCTTCAAATCTGAGTGAGTCTGCCCCTTTCTGACACACAAGTGCTAGATGGTAGACCCCAAATGAAGACTATCAGTGAACTCACTAAGAACCTTGTGGACTCCAGGTCTGATGAGCTGACTTTGCTGTGTGAGATTCCACAGAAAGCTATTGAGTGTCAGTGTTTCACAGCAATCTCCGCAGTCGATCTTAATTTTCACTTTTTGCTTCATTTACCTTTTCTTAGCCAGGTTCTAGAGTTTTGATCTACTCCTGTGAGGCTGACACAGGTTTCAGATCTGTTGTTCATAGGGTTCTTATGCATCATACTCGATTTACAACACCGAAGAATAACAACATGTGTGTTAACTCTACTAATCGCACAAAATGACGTGGCAGTGACAATATTTGCTTGAGCACATTAGGGGAAAAATGCCCAAGGAAGACTTTATGGAAAAATTAAACCTTATTGCTAAAGCAAATAAATGTGTATTCTCATATCTTTCCACCCCTCCTTGCCCCCAGAACCAAACAGGTGCTTGATAGCTATCACAGAGCTGTTTTTCCACCAGGATCTAAGTTACAGACGAACCTCTGGGCCTTGAAAAAACGCCTCAAACTCAACTGCAGTTGAGTTGGTACTGACTCATAGTGACTCTTCATCTGGCTTCTGAGGTTGTAAATCCTAACAAGATGAGACTGACCATCTTTCTCCCTCGGATCTGCTGGCAGCTTTGACAAAGGCATTGCCCTAAACATGTTCCCTTTCTACAGTTCTAGATGTTCTGCATTTCTACTGTGCTTCACGCATCTTCATAATAACAAAATCATGCCATTGCTTTTATTTTTTTGTTTATCCTTTAAATAGCAGATCAACAAGTATGGATCTCTACCAGTCATTTGGGCAGGTAGCTCTCTTCCAAATTTCCTGGCACAGACTGGTGAGCACATTCAGGGCTGCATCTGTGTGTTGAGCCATGTCAGCTGGTGTCCCATCAATTCCTGGGGCCTTATTTTTTGCCAGTGCCTTCAGTGCAGCTTGGACATCTTCCTTCATTACTTTCTTCATTGCTTTTGGCTCTTGTTTATATGCTGCTTCCTGAAATGGTCCATGGCAGCCAGTCCTTTTTTGGCACAGTGGCAAAACTGAAAACCAGTTGCTATCACGTTGATTGCTACTCGTGATGACCCCATGTGCGCTAGTAGAACTGTATTCCATAGGATTGTCTTTTTTTAATAAAATTTTATTTTAATTGTGGTTCTAATGAACCTTTACAGAGAAATTATATTTTCATTCATTCATTGTTACGTGTTATACCCCCTCCCTCCTTTCTTCCTCTCCCAGTTCACTTTTTTTCAAGTCATAAATGAACCTTTATGAATCTTTGCATTTTTGCATTTGTTTTTATGAAGTATCAACATTGGCACATCCCTAGTAGATTTATGCATTTTAGTGCATTTAAAAACAACAAAAATGAAAAACCTAAAACTAAATATGTTGTCATCAAATAAATTCTGACTCATAGCAACCCAAAAGGAATGGGAAGAATAAGTAGATCTGGCCCAAGGGCTTTCCAGAGAAGTAAATCTTTGTGGAACCAAATTGCCACAACTTTCTCTCATAGAAATGTTGTTTGAACCACAGATCTTTCCGTTAAGAAATAAATAAATTTCTCAGGGAAAATACATACAGTGTAAAAGCAATTAATTGATTTTGTTCATTTGGTTTAGTTCATTTAACCCTGTGAACCACCTTAATTTTATTCATCCCAAATGTTTTTTCTTAGATATTAAGTTTTTCTAGATGTGAGATTTTTAGTGTTTTTGCTTTGTTTCACTTTAAAAAAAAAATTCCTTCATTGTTGCAACCATAGGATTTTCTATAGCTGATTTTTCAGAAATCAGTCATTAACCTTTCTCTTGTGCATCATCCCTGCCCACTGTTGATTTCAACTCAAAGCAGCCCTTTTAGAACGGAGTAGAAAGACAAATTAAAAGGACAACCCAAAAGTTCCTAGGACTATGAATCTTTATGGAAGCAGACTGCTTCATCTTTCTCGCGCCACATGGCTTATGGATTTGAACAGCTGACCTCTCAGTTAACAGCCCACTGCTCAATCCACTGCAGCACCAGAACCCCTCGAGACATCGGATCACCACCCTTTCGGTTAGCACCTGAGTGTAAAGGTGCAAAGGGGGAGGGGAGGGTAGTTGGCAAACATCTCCACCACCGCTCCCTCCTCCCTGGAGAAGTCACAGTTGCCCAGTGGCATTCCAGGGAGTGTCGTTGCCTGTAGAGGAGGGATACATTCTTATTTCTCCCATCTTCTACCTTTGTACATGAGGTGTCACATCAGTGGCCTGCCAGTGCGTAGGGAAACCACTGCCTTCACCTCATGCGACTCATGGCAGCCCTGTAGGCAGCATTCATTTTTTTGTCTGATGGTTACATAAATATTTCACTGAATTTGTGTACCCACCGTTATCTCAAGGGAGCTCTGGTGGCCTAGTGGTAAGGACCTGTGCTGTCGCCTCAAAGGCACACAGTTTGAATCCACTAGTTGCTCCATGGGAGAAAGATGAGCATTCTCTTCCTGTGCAGTTTACTGCCTCTGAAAACCCACTGGAGGGTCAGCTATGAGTCAGTTCCAACTCCACGGAATATAACAACAATGACCTTTATCTGTACAACTGATCCAGTTAACCTACTATTTCTGTTTGATAACTATAATAATACTAATAACAGTAGCAGTGACAAAAATGAAGGCAGCCACACAAAGGTAATTCATCCTTTGAGCAGCATCCCTGGGGTTGTGGGGTACAGGCTTTCCTCGGGTGATCCTGATGCCCTGTGCCCCCACCAGGCTGGATCCTGGAGTGGCGCTGGCTGGCGGTGCTGGGCTGCGTGCCCCCCTCCCTTATGCTGCTGCTTATGTGCTACATGCCCGAGACCCCACGGTTCCTGCTGACCCAGCACAAGCACCAGGAAGCCATGGCTGCCCTGCAGTTCCTGTGGGGCTCTGAGCAGGGCTGGGAAGAGCCCCCCGCTGGGGATGAGCATCAGGTGAGGGGGCAGGGTGGCCTCACCTGGTGGCAGCTGGGAGCCGGCACAACCTGTTCCCAGGCTCTCACATAGTTGGGAGGAGGACCCCTCTCTCTACTTTCAGTGAGGAGTGAACTGGCCTTATGCTGCCTCTCTGAGCAGGCTGGAGTCCCACTCAGCTGGGCCTAGTCTCGGAGGTTACCAGAAGAGCACTACACTTTAATTCTCACTGTTTCAAAATAGAAAGGTCAGGTCAGAGGGGAAATTGAACTTGAGATTGTTGTTGTCATTATGAGGTGCCATGGAGTTGACTATGACTCATAGAGACCCTATAAACAACCAATCTGCACCTTACCCTATCCTCCTCATCTCTAATACGCTCAAGCCCATTGTTAAAGTCATTCTATTGTCCATCCTATTGGGGGGGTCTTCCCCTCTTTAGCTGACACTGCACCTTTCCCAACATGATGTCCTTTCTAAGTAAGGGCCCTGACAGCATGCCCAAAGTAGGTGACACGCAGTTTCACCGTCCTCGCCTCTAAGGAGCACCCTGCCTGCAGATGATAAGGCAGGGAAATAGTTAAAAGTCTGAATTTGGGAGTCAGACCTGGTTTGAACTTCTGCCACTTATAATCTTAGTTAACCCTTAATCTCATCATCTGAAAAATGAGAATCCCAGAGTATGCTTTGTGTGGGTGGTGGTATAGACTCAGCCAGAAGGGCTGGGGAGGCACTGGGTACGAGGCCAAGCCCAAGGCTAGATGTCCTAGCGGTTGGAGGGGCCAGGATCTGGCAGTTCAAGGAAAGACGCAATCAGGCCAGGGTGTCTTCACCCTATAAATGGGGAGTCTAGCATGATGCAGGGGTCCATCTGTGGACCTCACAGATGGGGCCTAGGTGGAAGCTCCATTGAGGTTCACTCCCCTCCACTACCTTAAGCACAGTGACTCAGATCTCCGGGATGCCTGTGGGAGAGGGCAGAGGCCACTGATGTCCTAGTCTCTGTCTGAGCAGGGCTTCCACTTGGACCAGCTGAGGCAGCCTGGGGTCTACAAGCCCTTCATCATTGGCATTTCACTGATGGCCTTCCAGCAACTATCGGGTATCAATGCTGTCATGTTCTATGCAGAGACCATCTTTGAGGAGGCCAAGTTTAAGGTAAAGCTGCCTCTGCCTCATCAACATGCCAGTGAGGACATTTTCTTCTCAAAGCTGGGGTCTGTTGGAGTCACCCTCTCAGCAAAGGGATGGAGAGGGAGGTGCCTTCCCTGGCTGGTCAGCTGACCACCTTGGCTCCCTTTTCCCTCAGGACAGTAGCCTGGCCTCAGTCATCGTGGGTGTCATCCAGGTGCTGTTCACTGCCATGGCAGCGCTCATCATGGACAGAGCTGGGAGGAGGCTGCTCTTGACCTTGTCAGGTGAGGCCCAGCCCTGTGCAAGCAGTAGTACCTCCACACCAGTCTCCCTCCATGAGCCGGGGGCCATTGTCAAGCCTGCCACCTTCCAGGGTATAGAAGGACGGCTGAGTAACATCATTCTTGTGTTTAGCCTTTATGACGAGCCCACAAGATCAACTTCAGCTTACAGTGGGGAAACTGAGGGCCAGGACATGAAGTAAAGCTTGTGGTCCTTTGGGACAATTACCTTTACCTCTCTGAACCTCAGCTTCTGCCTTTGTTAGAAGGAGAGATTGTAGCAGTTCCTCCCACAGTGTGGCTGTGCGGACCAGGAAATGACCTCTCTGCAGCCCAGACCCTGAGCTTCAGCCCAAAGGGGACAGTATGTACTGGCCACTAACAAGACTACCTGATACTTGCTGAAGCTGGAGCAGGGCAGGGCTTGGATGCTTCTCAGTCAGGGATCCCAAGACCAAAGTACTGGGATAATTGAGTACAGATTTCTGCTCCCCTTGCTACTCTATGAACCACAGCTGCTTCTCAGAAAGTACCCACATGTTTGACTTGCAGTCCATGTCCCCCAAGGGAGGGTCAAGCACACAGGCAAGAGGGAGGGGAGGCAGCATCTCCCAGTGCTCCCCCACCCCCCACCCCTTCTGCAGGAGTGATCATGGTGGTCAGCACCAGCACCTTTGGTGCCTACTTTGAGATGACCCAGAGTAGTCCCAGCAACTCCTCGCTTGTGGACCTCTTCATGCCTGTCTCCATGGAGCCTGTGATTGGCAGCGCTGGGCTGGCCTGGTTGGCTGTGGGAAGCATGTGCTTATTCATCGCTGGTAAGAGAGGGCCCACATGGAGGGTTGGGGAGGACGACCAGCTCCCATATCGTCTCACCACTGGGTCCCCACAGCTCCCATGCATCCCTTTTCACCTGGCCATAGCCTTTATACCTCTGACCACATGTTAGAGACACTGAACGAAGCCTTTGTGCGTTTATTTCACCTCCCTCTCTCTCACTTCAGCCCTATGATCAGGCCCCAATTATTGTCCCATTTTATACTTAAGAAACCTGATGCACAGGAAGTAGATTACTAGTCTAAGGTCTCACAGCAGGAAGGCACAGAGCTAGTAGGGCTGGTCTAGAATCCAGGTCCCTTGGAGACCCAGACCTGCCCTGTCAGTCAGGGGACTTGAGCCAGGGATGTAGGTTCTGCAGCCCAGAAGGACCAGCTCCTGTGGGTTCTAACACCTGTCTTGTCCCCTCAGGCTTTGCTCTGGGCTGGGGACCCATTCCCTGGCTCCTTATGTCAGAGATCTTCCCTCTGCACGTTAAGGGTGTCGCCACCGGCGTTTGTGTCCTCACTAACTGGCTAATGGCCTTTCTGGTGACAAAAGAGTTCAACAACCTCATGGTGAGTCCAGGCCCCAGTGGCCTTCTATCTTCCCCTGCCCCCATCGGGGAACAAATCACTTTTTAAAATGGCTTTTGTAAAAGACTCGGCTGGTGGCCTCACATACAGGCCTATGACTGGGAGGCCTGCCGTCCTGGTTAAGGTGAGATGGAGACAGATGGACCAGGACAGACAAGGATCCTGGGCTGCAGCCACACTCTCCAGAGGCCTCAAGCCATCATGAGAGAGGACCAAGTGACTGGCCCACCTTTACTGGAGATCAGGCATGAAACCAGGCTGAAGGTCTGGGTGGGGAAGACTTGGCCTCTGCACTCAACAAGCCTGGGCTCCAGTCACATGCCAGTCACTTTCTGCTCTATCTGACCGTGGCCATGCTGCTTACTTTCTCTGAAACGTTTACCTGGCTGAAAATGGAAGAAGGGAAGTAGTACACTCCTCCTGGAGTTGATGTGAGCATTCATTCAGGTCAGCATTTCACTGCCCTCCCCCAGACAAAACAGACATAGACCTGGTCCAGCCCCTGAAGGTCCCCAGCCCAGGGAGCTGGTTCTGAGGCGGGCATTTGTTTGACGAGCCATTGCCCTCGGGTCTCCTGGTGCATCCCATGTCCACACTCGGTTCAGGGCTCCCGAGCCAGAATGAACAAGATGGGCAGAGTCCCCTTAATGATGAAGGCCAAGAAGGTGAAAGACAAGTGGTGGGGAGTGAACTGCAGCGAGGACAGTGGGGGTACTCAGTGAGAGGCCTGGACACAGCGCCTGTGACCCCCTCAGGCAAGGCTGCCTGGAGAAGCCTACGGCTGAGGTCCAAATACCAAAACGGGGAAGAAAAGAAGCTGAGGAGGAGAGGGCAAAGGATGCAGCCAAGACCCAGGGGTATTCAGGTTCTAGCCAGGCTTCATGAGGTGACCAGGTCCCAGATGAAGAAAAGCAGGAAAGCTTTGATTCTGGTACTTCAGATGCCCCTGAAGGTGACCTGGGGTCAATGAGCAGTCTCCCTACTCCCTACTCCTTCCTGCCTGTGTTTCTGTGTCCTCCTGGGGCTCAGTCTACAGATAGCTCACACCCTCTGACCAACACCACAGAGTGAGTCCTAAGAGCAGAGACCCCAGGGCATGATGAGTCTGCGCACTGGAGTCAGATAAAGGCTGGAGCTCAGTTGTGTCACGTCATGGTCTCTGACCTTGGTGGCAGTCGCTTTATCACACTCAGCCACAGAACATTCACACCTCAGACATGGATGAGCTTGGACACTGCTACACCTGACCTCCCTGCACTGCCCCCAGGCAGAGGCAGACAACACAGCTGTGGGCTGCACAGATCAAGTCTCAGCACTGTTTGTCCACACTTGGCCGTTTCCCTCTCTCTCTGCAGGAGCTCCTCAGGCCCTATGGTGCCTTCTGGCTCGCCTCTGCCTTCTGCATCTTCAGCGTCCTCTTCACCGTGTTCTGTGTCCCTGAAACCAAAGGGAAGACTTTGGAACAAATCACAGCCCAATTTGAGGGGCGATGACGGCTTTTTGTACGTTGCTGCCCCTCCTAGCTGGACCACCTTTGGGCTTTGGAGGGGATGAAGCCAGCCTCAAACCTTCACTACCCCCTAGGTCCCAGGACAGCCGAGACTCAGGACCACAGCCCTTTGGAACCTTGAGCTAGGGGTTCCTTCCTTTCTGCACAGTTCTTCACAGCCCAGCAACCAGGGATGTGAGATGCCAGCCCCTTACTCCAGTTGCTGCTGCCTCTTTGTGGACTGGGAAGCAGGCAGCAGCTCAGAGGGCCTTTCCAGTCCTGTGGTCATCTCCTCCACCACTCCAAAGCAGCAGAGGAGGAGATGGACTCTTGCTTCTTGTTTTCTGGTTGCAGATGCTTTTGGAGGTTGGCCACACATGTTTTACTCTTACATGGTTGAGTTATCAGGAAGGAACTTTGTTTGCCAAATAAAGATTTGACTCAGAAAATCAGGGCACGACCTGTGTGTGGGAGCCCCAGTCAGAGAAGGGTATATTGCTAGCTCTTCCACAGACAGGTCTTCCTGGGCTTTGTGGAGAACTGCGGGTTTGCTTTCTCTCCATCAGTCAAGGCTCCCCTTAGCACCTGGAGGCTATCTCTGGCTCCTTCCTTACATACCATTCCCTGGATCATCAATATGATTGAATTACAGAAAAGGTGCCTATCTTGTTCCTTTAACTTTAATAGAGCCAGAAATCTTTTCTAAATTAATTTTATTATCTATTACATAAATGTTACTGTGTGCCCTCAAGTCAGAACTGACTCATAGCTGACCCTCGAGTGGTTTTCAAATGCTGTAAACAGCATGAGAGGAGATTGCCCATCTTTTTCCCACAGAGCAGCTGATGGATTCAAACCACCTGCCTTTGGGTCAGCGGCACAGCTCCTTACCACCAGAGCTCTCCATCATATAATTAGCATGTGTTTATTATAGGAATATTTGAAAATACACAGATATATTTAAGAGTTCTTTTTATAGCCAGGCACTGTCCTAAGCACTTTACAAATATTAACTTATTTGGATACAAATAATTTTTCACAGCTGTACCTTCCCAGAGAGCCTGTTAAAAATCTGGTTCTATCTCAGAAGATCCCTCCCCCAGCATCTGCTTCATTGCATCACCTCCCAGAAACAGGCCTGTGCTGCTTAATTCATCATCTGCTTCGTCTGCTTCTGATATTGGGCAGGCACCTCCCCAGGACGTGCACCCCTCGGCCTCTTCAGGCTTGTAAGAAGGCCAGCTTACCAGTGAAGGGAGCAGAAATACAGCGTGGTTCAGAGCACAGTGGTCCCAGAGGAGGACTTCATGCTCCTTCCAGAAGATCCTGCAGCGGCTACTATGACTTTTTTAACAAAAGTGCCAGCAAAGTACAGACCCTGGACCATTTTCAGCTTCGACAAAATCCATCTTTTTTAAAATCAGGAGCAGAGTTATGACTGTGTATAAGAACACTACTCTGTGTATCTACATACCATTCTTAATGCCTGTACAGTGAACATTGGTTGGATTGAGAACCATATTGGGGGTTTTTAATCTTAATGCAGTACTAAACAGTAGCAAGTTTTCAAACATCTTTTTATCCAGACTTAAAATGAAATTATGTACACTTCTCCTAAAACATTCAGCAACAAAAGTAAATAATGAAAATGTTACCAGCATTCCTTAATCTCACTTCCCAAAATGGTGGCATTGCAACAGTAAATTTTGTGCTTCAACTTAGCCAGACTCTGGTGCCCATTTGTTTGGTCAATCACTAGTGTAGATGTTGCTCTGAAGGTATGCCGCTGATGTGATTAATATACTCGACTGAATCTAAGTAAAGGAGGGGCCTCTCCATGAGGCAGGTAAGCACATCAGTTCAACCTCAAACTGAGGTTTCCAAGAGGAGGAGGATACAAAAGGAAGCAACGTGGGTATCCTAACAGTTTCCTACTTGGGACTTGCCAGTGCCTACAATTGCATGAGGCAGTTCCTTCACTATACACATTCTCCAGCATTTATCATCATGTGGTGAATTGCTTTGATAAAGCCCTTCTAGCTATGATTTTGTGGCTCCCACAAAATGTCTGGGTGGCAGTATGCATCTAAAGTTCTTGTGGCCCACCAAAGGGATTGGAAAATCTGCTGCTAAAGCAAAGTGCAAGGAACTCTTGTAGGACATTGACCAGTTAGCCATCCCACTAGGCTTAAAGGGAGCTATTCTTAGAGGTTAAAAGGGGAACTCACTATCAGAAGTGACAAGCAAGCACATCTCTTAGACCCAGGGTCCCTGCACTGAGAAACTCTTAAACCCAGGAGACTGAAGTGGCTCAAAGCCACAGCAGCACAAGGCTGGCGGCTCTGCTAAGTGAGAGGTGGAGAAAGGTGATTCTGGGTACCTACTAGCAAAACTGCAAGTTATAAAAAAATGAAATAGAATATATAAAGATGAATATCTGAAGCATTAATGAGTGGAAACAGACTAGTATTGGCCATTTTGTTGGGTTTAAAAATTTTTTAATTGTGATTTTAATGAACATTTACAGAAAAGTTGGATTTTCATTAATTTATTGTTGCACATTTTCCTCTTTCCCCCCTCCCCCAGTTCACTTTTTTTTAAGTTTTAAAAAAAGTATATTTTATATTTAATGTTTCTAAGACATGATTCACCCACCCACCCCCTTCCCATCTTTGAAACTGAGAAAAGTGTAGGAAATGTTTCCTGGAAAATTGCAAGAAAAATGTGAACATAACAAATGACCATGCTGTTAGTTGCTTCATGGCCCAGTTCACTTTAAAAAAAAAAATTCATTAATTGTTACACAATTTCCTCCTCCTCCCCATCCCCCAGTCCTCTTTGTAATGTACCTTATTCCGGACCATTGTTTTACATATAATGTCTAATTATATATCCCTTTTAAGCAGTTCTCTCCCTCATCTGTTCCAATACAGTGTTCACAGTCTATCCACTCTTTTCCTGTTCTCCCAGTGCCCCATGTCAGTCCTGCTTCATAACAGTGGTGTTATGTAGTATCTATCCTTTTGTGACTGAGACATTTCACTCAGCACAATGTCCCCCAGGGTCATCCATGTTGTGTAATGTTTTACAAGGTCATTATTTTTCAGGGCTGTAGGAATTCTGTTGTGTGAATATACTATAATTTTTCTATCCATTCATTTGTTGATGGACACTTGGGTTGTTTCCATCTCTTTGCTTTTGTAAATAACAGCAATAAACATGGATGTGGATACCTCTGCTTGGATGGCAGTTCTGGTTTCTTTAGGGTCTATTCCCAGCAGTGCAATTTCTGGGACAAATGGTATTTCGATTTCCAACTTTTTTAGTTAGACAATCATGTATATGGTCTACTAACTTTATTCATTAGTGTTCAAGGCCTCAAACTTGTTCTTAAGATGATTTTGAAATTCAGGTGGAATTGATTCAAGGTCAAATTTTTGTTCCTGTGGATTTGATTTAACCTTCTTTACCTTTAGTTCAAACTTGATGGTCTGTTCCACAATCTTCAACTGTCCTAGTTTCCACAGCTGATACTGAGCTTCTCCAATGATTCTTTCCACATATGTAATAAGTCTGATTCCTGCGCATACCATCGGTGAAATCCATGCATATAGTCTGCATTTGTTTATGTTTCTTATAAAAGGTATTTGCAATGAATAAATCCTTAATGGTACAGAATTCTATCTCCTGCCTCATTTTGTCACCAAGTCCCAGTTTTCCAACTACTGATCCTTCTCTGTTCCCAACTTTTCCCCCAACTTTTACATTCTAGTCACTTAGTAATGCATCTTGATTGCATTTTTTTTATTAATTTATGACTGCAATTACATCTGTGCATCAGAGAGCCAGACAATGACTAAGGATGACAGAAGAATGATTGATGTGGTTGTGCTGGAGAAGAGTATTGAACATACCATGGACTGTCAAGAGAACAAATAGGTCTGTCTTGGAATAGGTGAAATCAAGTTTCTCCTTGGAGGCAAGGATTCTAAAGCTCTGTCTCATATACTTTGGGCACGTGGCCAGGAGGGACCAGTACTTGGAGAAGGACATCATGCTTGGAAGGGTAGAGGGACAGTGCAGGAGATGAAGACTCCAGATGAGATAGATTGACATAACTGGGGCAATGGGTTAGGTGTATCACTGAAACTGGCTCAGGATAGGGCAGGGTTCAGAGCTGTTGTACATAGGGTCGCTGTGAGTTGCAGGCGACTTCATGGCACATAACAACAACATAATCTACTATGCCAGGAATAACAATCAAAGAGGAATGGCAACACATTTAAAAAGAACATTCCAAGATCTCTCTTGAAGTACAAAACAGTCAGTGATAGAAAAAAAAAAATCCCTGGGCATACAAAGAAGACCTGTTAGTACAAATATTGTTCAAATGTATGTGCCAACCACTAAAGCCAAAGATGAAGAATTGATGATTTCTACCACATTGTTGTCATTTAGTCAAGATGCATTAATTAGTAATTGGTAATTAGACTGCAAAAGAACAGCTGTTGGGGAAAAATATGGCCTTGGCGATAGAAATGACACTGAAGATTGCATGACAGAAATTTTGTATGACCAACTGCTTATTCCAAATACCTTAAAAGAGCATGATGTAGGTAGCTCTGGTGGCCTAGTGGCAAGAACCTGCACTGCAATCCCAGTGGTATGTGGTTTGAATCCACCAGATGCTCTGCTGGAGAAGGAAAGGCGATCTCCTGTACCAGACAGATCTGATTTGACAGTACACACACAAAAAAAATAATAAAATTTGGGAAAAAAATTTTAAAAAGGGAAGTTACTTTGGGTTTTTTTAATTAAAAAAAAAAGCATGATGTCAGTTTTAAGACTAAGATGAGTCTGATCCACGCCATGGTCTTTTCAATTACTTCCCATGCATTTTAAAGTTGGACAATGAGTAAGGATGATTGAAGAAGAACCTATGCCTTTGAGTTGTGGTGTTGGAGAAGAGTGCCTAATATCCCATGGACTGCCAAAAGAGCAAACAAGTCTATCTTGGAGGAAGTGCAACCAGGGTGCTCCTTAGAGATGACAAGAGAAACTTTGGAAATGTTGTCAGGAGAGATCAGTCCTTGGAGAAAAGATACCTTACTGTGAAAGGTGGAGGATCAGCAAAAGAAAGACCCTCAACAAGATGGATTAACACAGTGACTGTAAAATGAGCTCAAGGATGGTGCAGGAGAGGACAAGATTCTGAGCTGTTGTTCACAGAATCGCTGTGAGTCATAGTCGACTCGATGGCATCTAACACCACCACCACCACCACCACCACAGTACACCAGAGTACACAGGAATCAAATTAATTACAAAACTGAAAAAAGACGGTATCTCTTGCCGTGGATTCAAAATTGCTGACCCACCATTGCTTTTCCAACGCTGCAAATTGCACCGTAAGAAATTGGCCTTTCATCCTCAAACCCCAACTTCCCCACCTTTCAGCCTCCCTGGTAACTTTCAGCGGAATCAGTCTGCAAACTAAAGGGAGGTGTGCCTCCCAGTGGTCATGCGCCAATTTGCATCTGCTGACCCAGTGGGATTCACAAGCACATCTTTGAACCTGTTCATTTCAGTTTGACCTCCAGACAAATAAAAAATCTACATTTCCGCCCTAAATGTACTGTAATTGTTGTTGTTGTTGTTGTTATGTGCCATCGAGTCACTTGCAACTCATAGCGACCTTATGTACAAGAGCTCTAAACGCCGTTGTATCCTGTGTCAACCTAGCCATATCAAACGCACTCATGACCACTCCAGTCACAGAATCGATCCATCTCATCTAAGGTCTTCCTCTCCTTCGCCGACCCTCCACTCTGCTAAACATAATGACCCTCTCCAAGGACCAAGAACCAGTCCCCCCTTGCAACATGCCCAAAGTATGTCAAACGAAGCTTAAGAATCCTTGACTCCAAGGAGCATTCTGGCTTCACCTTCTCCAGGACAAACCTGTTTGCTCTCCTAGCAGTCCATGGTATATTCAACACTCTTCTCCAGCACCACAGCTCAAAGGCATCAATTCTCTATCATTCCTATTCACTGTCCAACTCTCTGATGCATAGCATGTAATTGTGAAGACTATAGCCCAGATCAGGCGCACCTTAGTCTCCAGCCTGACGTCATTGCTCTTCAGTACTCTTGAGAGGTCCCTCACAACTGACTTTCCCAATGCAATTCGTCTTTTGATTTCCTGGCTGCTGTTACCAAGAGTGTTGATTGTGGAGCCAAGTAAACTAAAACTGTTAACTATCTCAATCTCTTCACCGTCCATACTGATGCTGCCAATTGGCCCAGTGGTGAGAATCTTTGTTTTCTTGATGTTGAACTTCAATCCATATAGGAGGCTGCAGTCCTTGACCTTCTGCAGCAAGCGCTTCAGGTCCTCCTCAGTTTCAGCAAGCAGGGTTCTGTCATCTGCATAACGCAGGTTGTTGCGGTTCTTCCACCAATCCTGGTGTCACATTCCTCCTCGTACAGCCCAGCGTCTCTTATGATCTGTTCTGCATATAGATTGAAAAGGTATGGAGACAGAATAGATCCTTGATGGACCCCCTTCTTGACTTTGAACTGTGTAGTGAGTGTCTTCTTGCTCTGTTCTGACGACTGCCTGCCTCTTGGTCATTACAAGACCCATTTTCAAATAAAGTCCTATTTTCAGGTACCAGTGGTTAGACCTTAAAACATAATTTGGGGGGACACAAATCAACCTTTAACTTTATCAGGAAAGGTCCATTTTTCACTGTCTCGGTGCCATGAATCAGAGGATTCTACAACATTACAGAACAAAAGGGTCAGAGCAAATTAGGGTCACCACGTCCAGCAGAGGTCTGCGCCTGCGCAGAAGTAGCACTTTAAAAAACCACGATTCCCAGGACCCTTCGCGCTAAGTAGCTTTATATTACGGAGGCCCTAGCTATCAGGTTCCGGTAGAGCTAAAAGACTTATATAGCAAATTATAATGGAAAGTAGATTCTGGGACTTAGAACAAGAGGAAATCTTTATGTAAAGTACCATCCACAGGGGTATGAGAGTCCCAAACTTGGTGCCGGCAGAGAAAGAGTGGAGCAGCAGCCAAGCCTCGCAGAGACTTCTGGGAGATGAAGTGCTGTGATGCAGCCGTGAGACGTGTACGCATAATCGGAAGGATCGTTTCTGAGTTGCGTGCCCATTGGCACCAGAGCAGGTTCTCCAGTTTCTGAGCTCTCTTTCCTGTCACTAGTCTCCAAGCACTTGGGATTCTGCTGGAGACCGAGCTGGTGGCTGCACCGACGACTAACTGTGCCTGGAGAGACAAAGTCAAAGAGTAGGCTTGAGCCCCTGGGGCCCTCGACCGGGCCTCTGGGGGGACATATGAGGGAGTGACAAGTGTCCAGCCTGGAGAAAGCAGAGCGGGCCTGCAGGGTCCGGGCTGGGCTGCAGTGGAGCGACGCTGACGCCCAGAGGACTGCGGGAAAGCGGTGGCAACAAGTGAGACCCAAATGCTGGAAGAAGGAGGTGAGGAATGGTGGCGGGAGATCCAGCCACTGAAGTGTGTTCCCTAGTACTGTAAACTACACAGACCACAGCTCTGCAGCCCTTTGCTTCATATGTGGCCGGGAACAATATGTCTTTGGATAAGGAATCCCAGGGTCAAAAAAATACCAAGACAGCATACCTGGAGTATCCCTCCTTTACCCAGTCTGCATGATAGAGAATTATTGTTATGTGCCATGGAGTCGCAACTCAGCGACCCTATGTACAAGAGCCCTAAACCCTGCTCTATCCTGTGCCAGCCTCACTGACTCTGACATACCCACTCCTTGGAGACAAGGATTCTGAAGCTTCGTCTGACATGCTTTGGGCATGTTGCAAGGAGGGACCAGTCCTTGGAGAGGGACATCATGATTGGGAGAGTGGAGAGACTGCTCAGAATAGGAAGACCCTCAATGGGATGGATCGATTCAGTGATTGGGTTAATGGGAATAGGTAACAGAGAAGAGGGAAAATAAATAATAAGAGTAACAGAAGAGTTGGTGCCTTTGAATTGTGATGTTGGAGAAGAGTCCCCGGAGTGCCAGAAGAACAAAACAAATCTGTCTTGAAGGAGGGACAACCAAAGTGCTTCATAGAGAAAAGTTTGATGAACCTTCATCTTTCTGACTTTGGGCATATTTTCAGGCATAATCAGACCCTGAAGAGAAACATCATGCTGGAAAAGGTAGATGCGCAGTGAAAGAGGCAAATCCCCAACAAGATAGAATGGCACAGTGACTACCATAATGGACTTGAGCAAGACAAGATCATGAAGATGGCACAGGACAGGGCAAGGTTCAAATCTTTTTATTCATAGAGTCCCTATGAGTCATTGTTGACTTGATGGCACATAACAAAGGTTTTTTATTTTAAAAAACAATACTGTGTTTTCAGTGAAAGTTTATATAATTATTTAGGGTTTTATTGAGTACCATCAGGTTCAACCTATGGAACACATAGCTAACCCTCCAGTGGGTTTTCACAGGCTTTAAGTCACATTAGAGGAGATTGCCTATCTTCTTCCTGTAGGGCAGCTGGTGAATTTGAACTGTGTGCCTTCAGTGTTGGCAGAGCAGCTCCTTACTACTAGGCCACCAGAGCTCCTTAATTCAACAATTACTTCATAAATTGTGAATGACATTGTTTACATCCTTCAGAACATGAGAGCATTCTCATTTCTGGCTTTTCTACTCCACAATTCATTATTTTATATATGTTGTTATTGTTGTGTGCCATCCAGTAGAGTACGACCCTATGAACAATAGATCCCGAACCCTGCCTTATCTTGTGCTATCCTCATCCTCTCTGACATATCTGAGCCAAGTCACTTCCTACAGTCATTGTGTCAGTCCATCTCATTGAGGCTCCTCTTTGTTTTTTTTTAAATTTTATTATATTTTGTGTACCATCAAATCAGGTCTGACTTGCACAGGATGAGATTGTTCCTCCTTCTCCAACAAAGCACCTGGTGGATTCGAACCACACATCTCTGGGGTTGCAGTACAGCTTCTTGCCACGAGGCCACCAGAGCTCATAGAGGCTCCTCTTTTCTTTACAGACCTTTAACCCTTCCCAGCATGATGTCCCTTTGCAAGGAATACTCTTCTAGCACTAGGCCCAAAGTATGTGAAATGAAACTTCACCATCCTTGCCTCTAAAAAGTACTCTAGCTGCATCTTCTTCAAGGCATATCTGTACTTTTGGCAGTCTATTAAATATTTATCTCCAACACAGTATCTTAAAGTCCTTGATTCCCCACCACCACCCTTTCTGTCATTTATTGTCCAGCTCTCAGATGCGTAGAAAGTGATTTAAAAGACTATGGCCTGAATCAGGTGACCTTAGTTTTCAAACTGACATCTATATTGCTTAGTACTTAGAGAAGTCCCTGACAGCAGACTTTCTTAACACATCTTTTGATTTCTTGAGTGCTGATGCTAATGGTGTTGATTGTGGATCCAAGTAAGATGAAGTCATTGACAATTTTAATCTTTTCTAGTCCATCATGATGTGTCAGCCCAGTGGTGAGGAATTTTATCGTCTTGATGTTTTGATGTAATCCATAATGAAGACTTTGTAGTGTTTGATCTTCTATGGCAAGTGTTTTTTAAGTCCTCACTTTTGGCAAACAAGGTTGTGTCATTTGCATAACACAGATTGCTGATGAGTCTTCCTCCAATCCTGATGCTACATTTTCCTTCATATAGTTCAGCTTTTTGAATGATTTGTTCAGCATACAGATTGAATCAGTGTGGAGAAAGGTTACAGCCCTCATGCACGCTTTTCTTGATTTTAAACCATATCATTTCCCTTGCTCTGTTTAGACAAGTTCCTTAGTCTAAGTACAGATTTTGTATGGGCATGATAAATGTTCTGGGATTTCCATTCTTCTCAGTGATGGGAACTACAGTTTTCTATGATCCATGCAGCCAAATGCCTTTACATAGTCAATAAAACACTACTAGACATTCCTCTGGTATTCTCTGCTTTCTGCAAACATCCATCTGGCATCAGCAGTGATATCTCTGATGCCATGGCCTCTTCCAAATCCATCTTGAACTCCTGACAATTTTGCCATGATCTTCAGCAAATTTCGCTTGTATGTGATACTAATAATATTGTTCAATAAAGTCCACATTCTGTTGGATTACCTTTCTTGAGAATGGAAACAAATAGGATCTCTTCCAATCATTCGGCCTGGTAGTTGTCTTCCAAATTTCTTGGCAACACTGGTGAGCATTGCAAAACAACTATGAGATAGCATTTCACCCCAGTAACAATAGCAAAATTAACGGAACAGCAAACAACAGATGTTGGTGAGATTGCGGAAATATTGGAACCCTTATTCACTGTTGGTGGGAGTGTAAAATAGTCAAACACTATGGAAGGCAATATGGTGCTTTCTCAAAAAGTTGGAAATAGAAATAGCATTTGGTCCAGGAATTCCACTACTGGGAATACATCCTAAAGAAAGCAGAACTGCCACCCAAACAAATAGATGCATACCTATGTTCATTGTTCACAGTAGCAAAGAGATGGATACAACCCAGGTGCCCATCAACAAACGAATGGATAGAGAAGCTGTAATACCTTCACACTATGGAATACTATGCAACACTGAAAAACAAGGTACTCATAAAATATTATACAAAACTGGTAACTTTGGAGGACATTATGCTGAGTTAAATATCTCAGTCAAAATATACAAAATGGGTAACCTTGGAGGACATTATGCTGAGTTAAATATCTCAGTCAAAATATACAAAATGGGTAACCTTGGAGGACATTATGCTGAGTTAAATATCTCAGTCACAAAAAGACAAGTAGTGCATAATGCCACTGTTATAAAACAGGATTGACATTAAGGGTTGGGGGGAAACTAAGAAAAGGGGATAAATAATGAACACTGTATTGAAACAATGAGGGAAGAACTGTTTAAAAGGAATGTATGATTAGGTATTATTTGCATGACAACAGTCTAGAACAAGAGGTGCATAGCAAAGTAGACTAGGGGGTGGGAGGAAATTAAAGAGATCAACAGAAAATTTTAAACGGCAGCTTGGGATGACAAAGCAAGATGAAATATGCAAAGAGCTGGAGTTAGAAAATCAAAAGGGCCGAACTCGCTCAGCATTTCTTAAGCCGAAGAAATTGAAAACAAATTCAAGCCATGAGTGGCAATACTTAAGGATGCTTTGTGCAGAATGTTAAATAATCCAAGAAGCATTAAAAGAAGATGGAAAGAGTATACAGAGTCACTGTACCAGAAGGAATTGGCTGACACATAAGGATTTCATGAAACAATGTATGAGCAAGAGCCTGTGGTGATGAAGGAGTAAGTTCAAGTTGCTCTGAAATAATTGGCAAAAAACAAGGCTGCTGGAGTTGACAGCATACCAATTGATTTATTTCAACAAACAGATGCAACCCTGGATGTGCTCACTAAGTTGTGCCAAGAAATCTGGAGGACAGCCAGCTGGCCAACTGACTGGAAGAAATTGATATTTGTTCCCATTCCAAAGAAAGGTGACCCAAGAGTGTGAAAATTATTGAACAATATCATTAATATCACATGCAACAATATCATTAATATCACATGCAAGCAAGATTCTTCTGAAAATGATTAAAAAACGACTGGAACAACACATCAACAGAGAACTGCCAAGTGCACAGCCTGGGTTTAGAAGAGGTCGTGGTACTAGGGATATTATAGCTAATGTTAGATGGATCTTGGCAGAAAACAGAGTACCAGAGGAATGTCTATCTGTGCTTCATTGACTATGCAAAGGCTTTTGACTATGGATTACAACAAACTGGCTCACTCTGAGAAGAATGGGAATCCCAGAACATTTGATTGTGCTTATGCGAAATCTATACTTGTACCAAGGGGCAGTCTTCAAAACAGAGAAAGGAGACACTGCATGGTTCAAAATTGGGTAGGGTGTCCTCCAGGGATGTATTCTGTGTCCATACCTTTCCAGTCTGTATGCAGGACAGATCATCTGGGACGCTGGGTTGTACAAGGAGGAATATGGCATCAGGATTGGAGGAAGATTCATCAACAACCTGCATTATGCAGATGACACAACCCTGCTTGCTGAAACTGAGGAGAACCTGAAGTTCTTGCTGCAGATCAAGAACTGCAGCCTTCAATATGGATTGAAGCTCAACATCAAGAAAACAAAGATTCTTATCACTGGACCAATTGGCAGCATCATTCTAGATGGTGAAGGGATTGAGGTTAACAGTTTTAGTTTGCTTGGCTCCACAATCAACACTCTTGGTAACAGCAGCCAGGAAATCAAGAGATGAATTGCATTGGGAAAGTCAGCTGTCAGGGACCTCTCAAGAGTACTGAAGAGCAACAACATCAGGCTGAAGACTAAGGTGCGCCTGATCCAGGCCATAGTCTTCGTAATTGTTTGCAATGTGTCAGAGAGCTGTACAGTGACTAGGGATGGTAGAGAATTGATACCTTTGAACTGTGGTGCTGGAGAAGAGTACTGAATATATGTACCATGGACTGCTAGGAGAACAAACAAGTTCATCCGGGAAAGGGAGAAACCAGGCTGCTCCTTGGAGGCAAGGATTCTGAAGATTTGGACATGTTGCAAGGAGGGAACAGGCCTTGGAGAGAGACATCATGTTTGGGAAGGTGGAAGGACAGCACAAGAGAGGAAGAGCATTGATGAAATGGATCGATTCAGTGACGGGTAATGGGAGGAGGAGTGTCAGAGACAGTGAGGTTGGCACAAGATAGAGCAGGGTTTAGGGCTCTTTTACGTAGGGTCGCTATGAGTTGCAAGCGACTCAACAGCAAATAAACAATAACATGTGGGTCTTTGGTCGATTTTTAATTAATATTTGCAGATAGTATGAGGTATGGGTTCAACTTCATTTGTTTGCATGTGGATACCTCGTTACAGCACTATTTGTTTAAAAGCTATGTAGGAATTTTTTCTGATTGAACTTCTTGGCATCTTGATTCTCTTCCATAGATCTCTATGTCTCTCCTTAAACTAGGGAACTCTGGTGGCCTAGTGGTAAGGAACTGCACTGCCAACATGAAGGCATATAGTTCAAATCCACCAGCTGCTCTGAGGAATAAAGGTGACCAGTCTCCTTCTGTGTGATTGTACTTCCTCTGAAAACCCATTGGAGGGTGGCCTATGAGTCTGTTCTGACTTGACCTTACATAACAACTGGCCTTAGTTAGTATGACACTGTTTTGATTATTGTTGATTTGTAGAAAGCTTTGAAATTGGAAAACATGAATCATTTAACTTGTTTCTTTTTAAAATTTTTTTCAAAATTTAAAAATCCTTTTTTTTCTGCTGCTTTATTCTTCCTTTCATATACATATAAATTTTTATTTTATCTGCAATAGAACAAATTTTGATAAGGGACCATATTAACTTTAAATCGGTTTGGAAACAGCATCTCCACAGTACCAAGTCTCCCCGTCCATTTCCATTTATTTAAGTATTCCATAATTTCAACAGTTTTTTAGTTTTCAGTGTACAAATATTGCAGGTTATTTGTTAGATTTATTTCTAGATATTTTATTCTTTTAATTGGTATTATAAATGGATTGTTTTCAGGTAAATGGAAATGTTTCTTATAAATAAAATTTCATTTTTTGATTGCCTCTGCTAGTCTATAGAGATGTATTTTATATTTTTGTGTGTATTTATTTGTACCTAGCAACCTTACTGAACTCATTTGTTAGTTTTTTTTTAACCATACAGTATCAGATCATCTGTAAAGATAGGTAGCTTTACTTCCTTTCCAGACCTTTTCCTGTTATTTCCTAATTGAACTGTTTGAAGAGAATTGGACAGTGGAACTTTCAGTATAATGCTGAATACAAGTAGAGCAGACACCCTTGTTTTATTCTTGATGTTAGGAGAGGACACACTCCTATTACTAATTTGCTGAGTGTTTTTAATCTTGAAAGAATGTTGTATTTGTTAGGTGCTTTTTCTTTTTCTCTTGGAACTATTATGTGCTTGTTTTCCCTTTACTCTACTAACACATTTATTGATTTTCATATATTGAATCAACTTTGCATTTTGAGGATGAATTTCACCTGGGCATTACCTCTTCTTCTCACTAAGTGGTTATCTTCAAGTTGTAGAGCCACTTTTCTCAAAGAACTCGCAAAACAAATAATAAATAATTTTTGCAAACTGCTTTTTTGTATGTTAGTAGGGAGATCTGATGATTTAATCTGTAAGGATTTGCACAGCTAACCCAGAAAGAAGCCTGCCTCTCTGGCGATTCAAATCCACCAGGAGCTCCTCAAGAGAAAGATGGGCAATAACTTCCAGTGTGGTTTACAGCCTCGTAAACCCAGTGGAGCTCTGGTGGCCTACCGAGTAAGGCTTTGGCAGGCAGTTTGAATCCACCAGCCGCTCTGCGGAGGAATGGCGGGCCATCTCCTCCTGTACAATGTACTGCCTCTAAAAACCTGCTGTAGGTTCAACTATGAGTTAGTTCCCATTCAAGGACAGTGAGATTTTTTTTTCTTTATGTGTTAAGCATTATGTCAACTTCTTTGCGTATTTGTTTACTTTTCACACTAAACATAGGAGAGATTAATCTCCATTTTATATGTAAGAAAAATGAGAGTTAGACACTGCTGCAGAGGGCAGGATACTTAAGAATTCTTAAAGCTCTGAGGCTTCCCTACATTTGAGTGAGTTGATGAAATTTCTGAAGGAAAAAGAATGTGAAAAGATTCCTGCCCTAGGTCACAGAAATGTTGCTCCTTCCTTAGTTGCAGGCTAACCTAAATTTAGCCTGTGGGCTCTATCTGGAACAGGCTATGAGGTATATCCCTTCAGCCTCCACTTTGTAGTGAGAATGCGAGATTAGTTGACTCTGTAAACACAGATATTATGCCTTTCTGATTTCTTTCTCTTCCTCCAGTAGTATCTTCTCCTGACCCTGCCCTTTCCCAGGAGGAAAGCACAGGAGAGGGTGCAATGGCTGCTGGTCTTCTCACAGCGGCGCCCCAGGTGAGTAGAAAATGTGCTCTCAGAGACAACCTGGATTCCCCTAAGATTAATTGTACGGTTCTAGCTTGTTTCCTGTTTTGTTTGTTTAAGTAGTTCATATCCATTGCAGAAGACTTAAAAATAAACCACCACCATGATGATTCTTAGCCACAAAGAAATACTGTCTAACATTTTGATATTTGTCCTTGTATTCTTCATTCTTGCCAAATGGGTTTGTTCTGTTTTATAATGTCCTTTTGTTTTGTGTTGTAAAATTTGATGAACCCTCTCCACTGGCTGTGTTCTACTCCCTGGCATAATCCCTCTGTAGGGACAGAACTGTCCTCTCCCCTTTTATTGGCTGGACTAGTACTAGACTACTTCTCATAGATTTAGGATATCACTCACATATTTCCTCATTATATCTTATATTTTCTTTATTCCTCAGATTTATTTTAAAACTTAATTTTGCTAATCTTTTGAGTTGACTCTTAACACATTTAAATTCTTTCTTGTTTAGTAAAACTTTTTAGCTGTGGATTTTTTTTAAAGATAGTTCCAAATTATGATTTTTATTTCTTTGCCTATTTGACTGATCTGTGCTCCTTGAGGACAAAATCCTTATCTCTTATCACCACAAAATGCCCATGTATGTTTGGATTAGAGCATAGGGCTAATTGGATTTGTCAATTCAACTTTATTATAAAAGTTCCTCGGTTCTTCCATATTTTAATCTGTTGGAGTTTTTTAATGAATTAGTTTCTTAGTAATTGAATTATTTGAACCTTGAACATCTTTTACAACAGTAATTTTTTTCCTTTTATTTCCTTCAGTTATTATGGTTGTTGTTTATGACACATCTTTATATGAATTGTACTCTTTTACTTATGTTAGTGAGAGCTCCAGTGGCCTAGTGGGTAAAGAGTTGTCCTTCCAACTCAAAGATGCACAATTCAGATTCACCAGCAGCAGGAGAAAGATGAGCAGTCTCCTGTGTGTTTTACAGCCTCTGAAAATTTTCTGGAGGATCTCCTATGAGACAATTCTGGCTTGATGGCAATGAGTTATTATGAAGGTACTTATTATAAAGTGACCCTGCTATTCAGTTGTCTTTTAAATAAGACCTTCTTTGTCCCCTGTATTTCTTAGTGAAAGGTGGATTGAAAGGACAAGGTAAAAGTATTGAGGTGCTAGACACACTTTGGGGAGCTCTGGTGGTCTTGTCTATAAGGAGTTGCTTTGCTAACCCAAAGGCTGTGCCTCTCTGGAAGTTCAAATCCACCAGCAGCTTCTTGGGGGAAAAATGGGCAGTTACCATCCATGTTATTTACAGCATCAGAAGCCAAAGGAGGGGTTCTGTTTTAAGTCTAGAGTTTTGAGTTACAACTTAGGGAAGTAATTCTGGCTTACAATAAGGCAGAAATGGGGACATAGAAATAAAAAGTTTAATTATAGTGATATTTAAGCAGAAAAATCAGTAGGCAATTGATTTGAGAAAGCTTTAGGAAAAGAGAGGAAAACCTCCAGCCTTCTGGCTTAGCCAGCTGAGTAAGTGGATGTGCCACTCTCTGACTAAGCAAAAAATAGCCAGTCTGCAGAAGATGCTTTTGAAAAAAATAAAAGGAAAAAAAAAAAAAAGAAGATGCTTTTGATTTGTTGTATTTTATTGAATTTGAGGTTTTGGTAAAACTGGGCCAGGAGATAATTACTGCCTTTGTTAGTAAGTTTATAATTAATCTTGACAATATTCTCCTTTCTACCTGGCTACTTCTACTCCATGTACCTAGTACAGAGTACACTTCATAAAGTCGCTGTGTGTTTGCTGTAGTAATAGTTTCTGCTGTTATCTGTATGTCTTATGGCTCATGCCCCCTCTCTATTGAACTCCAGAACCCTGCTTTCAGATGTTAGAGAACACCTTCTGAAACTTTGAACTTGATGGGCCCGAAAACAAACTAGTTAACTGGCTGACTCATCTCCTTTCCCATATTTCATCTTTTGTAATTCTGATACTGTAAATTCCAGTTCTAATTTTTCCCCTTCTTTTGACTCTTTAACTCTGAAGCACCTGTTAGTTTCTGCCCATATTTCTCACATGTATTTTGTATTTCAAGGAAACTCTGGTAGCTTAGTAGGTAAAGAGTTACACTGCCAACCCAAAGGTAGGCTGTTTGAATCCACCAGTTGCTCTGTGAGAGAAAGATGGACATTCTCCTCCCTAGTAAGGTACAGCCTCTGAAAACCCAGCGGAGTGTCAGTTTTGGTCAGTTCAAACTCATTAGCAATGAGAGAGAGAGATTTCTATGTAAAGCCTAAGAAACTATAAACATATAAAAACAAGAGACTATTTTATTTGCTTCTTTTCACAACATTATCCAAAAATGTAGCACATAAAAATAGCCAACAAATTATTTTTGTCAACAGTTCAGAGCCCTGACATGGAACCATTTCAGGAAATAGCATATGATCGAGAACAAGTGGTAATAGAGGAGAATATTAAAGCTGCACTGAAGGCATTGGAAAAAATATTAAGGCCCCATGAATTGAAGATATACCAACTGACATGTTCTAACAAATAGGTGCAGCCAGGCTGTGCCAAGACATTTGGAAGACATAGAGGACAGCTGCCTGGCCAACTGACTGGAAAAGATCCATATTTGTTCCCATTCCCAGAAAAGATGGTCCAACAGAATGTAGGAGTTATCGAACAATATCCTTAATACCATACACAAGCAAAACCTTGCTGACTATTATTTAAAAATTACTAGAACAGGGTGCTGACAGAGAACTGCCAGAAATTCAAGCTGGATTTAGAAGGGGCCATGGCACCAGGGATATCATCACTGATGTTAGATGGATCTTGGCTGAAAACAGAGAATACCATAAAAAAAGTTTGTATTTTATTGACTATGTAAATGTTGTGTGGAGCACAATAAATAATGGCTAACTTTGAGGAGTCCCATAACATCATGCAAAACCTGCACCTTCACCTAGAGGTTGTTGTCTGAACAGAGCAAGGAAACTCTGCATGATTTAATGTCAAGAAAGGTGTGCATCAGGGCTGTGTCCTTTCCCCTTTCTATTTAATCTGTATGCTGAACAAATCATTCAAGAAGCTGACTCTATGATGAAGAGTGTGTCATTAGGATTAGTGGAAGACTCACCAACAACTATATTGATGGTACAATCTTGCTTGCCAGTGACACCATCTTGCTGAAAGTGAGGTTCTTAAAATGCTTGCCATAAAAGATCAAAGACTATATGGCCTTTAATATGGATTACATCAAGGAAGCTAAAATCCTCACCACTGGGCCAATATGTAACATCCTAGAAAAAGAGAGATGGAGAAAAGATTGAAATTGTTAATTATTTCATCTTGCTTGGATCCACAATCAACACCCTTGGTACCAGCAGTCAAGAAAAATTAAAAGACATGTTACATACACTAGAAAAAACTGCTGAGACCTTTCCAGAGTTCTAAAAAATAAGGATGTCAGTTTAGAGACTAAGATGTACCTGATCCAATCCATAGTCTTCAATTTCTATACATTCTGAAATTTGGACATTGACTAAAGAGGACTAAAGAAGAATTGATATCTTTTGTGTTATGGTGTTAGAGAAGAGTACTGAATATCTTGGACTGCAAAAAGAACAAATATGTCTTAGAGAAAGTTTAACCAGAGTGCTCCTTGGAGGCAAGGATGAAGAAGCTTCATCTTACATACTTTGGGCATGTTGTTAGGAGGGGCTATTCCTTGAGAACAGATGGCATGCTTGGTGAGGTGGAGAGTCAGAGGAAGACCCTCAACGAGATAGGCTGACACAATGACTGTAACAATGGGCTCAAGGATGAGGATGCGCAGAATAGGGCCAAGTTCGGATCAGTTGTTGACAGGGACACTGAGTTGTAGTCTATTTGACAACTAGAACATTGACACCCAGAGCCCTAGATTCTGCAAGATTCTGCAAAGACCATCTCTAGACGTGCCATCCATTGCCTCCAGAGTTGTCAACCACTCTCTCCCTTTTGCCTCCATCTCAGATCCTAAGACCCCCTTCCTTACTGGCTGAGCCAGAATGTGCTTGTTGTTTCAGGGATCCATGTCCTTCAGCAGCATGTCTATAGCTTTTGCCCAAGAGGGCTGGAAACACCCAGTTTGTGCTCCAAGGGACAAGGAGGAAGGGATAACAGAAAAGTCCAGGAATTTGGTCCTATTGGGTAAGAAAACTATTATTTTTTACAAAGATTTGAACCTTGCTTATTTCTGCCTTACTCAGTTCTGAAAATCTGGCCCTTTCTAAAGTGTTCACCTTACCTTACCCATTGACAATCAATTCCAGCTTATAATGACCCTATCGGATAGAGTAGAACTGTTCTCTCGGGTTTCTGAGGCTGTGATCTCTAAAGAAGCAGTCTGTCATGTAACTTTCTCCTGTAGAAGAGCTTAACTAGTGGATTCAAATTGCCAGACTTTTAATTAGCAGCCAAACACTTAGCTACTGCACCACTTTTCCAAGTGCTTCATTTAAAATTCATTGCAGTTGAGTTGGAATCAACTCATAGCTTACCCACTATTGGGTTACTGAGCTCTAAATCCCCCTGTGAGGAGTTTGCCCTAAAGCCAGCCACTGGTGGATTTGAACCCCCAGAGTGGTGTGGCCTTTAAGTTAGCAGCACAGCACCTTAGGGACTCTGTCATTCCAAAGGGCTGATTGCTCAGAGGTTTAAGAGGGAGGGATAGTGCTTATCCCCCCTTGTTGACTAAAGAAAGGTATATGTTCCTACTTGGCAAATAGGCACTTTCCTTTTGCTACCCTTGAGGCTACACCATCCGCATTCTTTTATTTCTCAGCTGTGGTGGTAGCTGTTAGTTATTGTGTACCTTCAAGTCAGAACTGGCTCATAGCTGACCTGTGGATTTTGAGAGGCAATAAATCACACAGGGGAAGATTGCTCATCCTTGTCCCACAGAGTAGCTGGTGGACTCAAACTGCATTACTTTTGGATGGCAGCACAACTTATTACCACTGATTATTAGATAACCCTCATATCAGTTCTTCCAGACTCAGTTAAATTGCTGCCATTCTAAATATAGGCATCTTCAAGACTTGGTAAACTCCCAGCTTAACCCCTCCTTGAGGTTGTATTGTTAGCTTCTTCCAGAAATCCCTAACCAAAACCTTAGAGCCATAGCTATCTTATTTACTGCTGCATCCTCTAATGCCTGGCATCAAGTAAGTAAGTGCACAATGAATATTTGTTGAATCAATTAAATAAATGGCCTGTCTCCTCTCCCTGGAGTGGTTCTGGGTGGCTTTTTATACTTATTATTATTTTTTTTTTTTATACTTATTAGGGAGCTCTGGTGGTTAAGTGGTAAGGAATTGTACGGTCAATCCAGAGGTATGTGGTTTGAATCCATCTGCTGCTCCCAGGAGAAAGATAGACATTCAACTCCTGTGTGATTTACTGCCTGTGAAAACCTGCTGGAGGGTCAGCTCTGGGTCAGTTCTGACTTGATGGCATACAACAATTTATACTTACTATAAATTTCAAAGCCCATTTCTTTCCTTTACTAGGACTTCCAGTCTCACAGCCTGGCTTGAACTCCCAGGTGGAACAGAGAGAATCATGGATGCTGGAAGAAGAAGGTCTAAGCAGCACCTGTCCAGGTAAGCGATCAGGCACTAATCAGGTTAGAGTGTTGGGAGCAAAAGCCCCTTTGAAAACATGTTAGTGCATGTGATTATCTTAACAACTCTAGAGGGACTTATCCTTAATTCCATTTATAGATGAGGAAATTGAAAGAGAGGGGAGCTCTGGTGGCCTATTGGCAAGAAGCTGCACTGCAATCCTCAAGGTTCAAATCCCCCAGATGCTCCACTGGAGAAGAAGGGGTGATCTCCTCCTGTGTCAGTCAGATCTGATTCGAGGGTATACAACAAGGGGAAAAAAAGAAAGTGAGAGAGGTTAACTAATTTTTTTAAAGCCCCAAAGCTGAAAACTGGTGATACTGGGACTTGATGGTAAGTCTGACTTCTATAGCCCACCACTCTCATCTCCCATACTGAGAAACGTCTGAGAACAAACGTGATATTATTGGCTTCTGGAAGATTTTACTTCCTCACTAGTGTAATGAATGCCATCTTTGTTAGACGTTCCCAGCTTGGGCTAACCTCAGAGGACTGGGAACACTAGGTGCCTATCTTTACCCATATCTTCTGTAACAGTTACTACATTCACTTGCCCTGCCCCTTAATTGGATTCTGCTTTCTTTCTGTCTCTGTATAACACTGCTCAGGAAAAATTTTAGGAAGGGAAACCAAAGTTTTTGCTACTTGTTTTCATGTGAGGTGTTCACTCTAGCTTCTGCCTTCTGTCATAGCCTCTGCTACCAATGACCTCCATAAGGCCTCAATAATTTTTCCCTCTGACCCAGTTACCTTCAGTGTTTTGAGAATGACAGCATCAGTGGTAAAAATTAATTAAACCACTTTCAGATGACAAGTGTTACAGTTTTAGCTTAATGCTCTATTCCTTTAGTTACCAGTTATTAATGCCATAGGACAAGGGAACCAAGCCTCTGGCTTATTTTCTGCTTGGTTTATCTGAACTGTTCGTTGTTCTACTTCCTGACTTATCATCTTCTTTCTAAGCAGTCTCTCAGGTTACTTCAGTCCTCATTGTAACTTCACTGTTACTATCTTTTACAGGGACCTTCAGTCGTCCTACTTCTCCATGTGTCCCCTTCTCCCGAACATGCCCATATTTGCCGGGCAGGGCCTCTTAACTTTTATGAAACCTTGAGAATTATGTGCAGTATTTTGTGGTTAGGGGAATAACTGCATTTATCTAGATAAAAATCTCTACATGCCCAGAAGAAGTCATTTCAGCAGAAGAATCATCAAACTGCAGAAAATCTGATCTTCAGTGTCACTTCTTGCCCATGCTAGTAACTCTTGAAGAGTAATAAAACACAGATCTAGTTTAGATTTTTTTCCTCAACTATTAACCAATATTCCTTAATATAATAATTATATAATAATTACTATAAAAAGTTTTCCTCCCAAAGGTGACATTCAGCCAGCATCAGGCTTGGGGTCCTAGAACCATGGCCCAGTTTGTCCATAGCCTGGTGGGGAAGGCTCTGCAGATGGTAAACGCTACTGTGACTTGAAGCTTCAATTTGCCACATTTTGGCAGTATGCCAAGGTGGAGCTGGTTCCTCCAATCCCTGCTGAGATCCCTATGGCTATTCAGAGCCTGAAAGTGCTTAAACTGGTCACTTCAAACAGTTCACAGTTAAGGAAACTTTACTGAATCATTTGTTGTCCACTGAGGCTTGGGCGTGGCTTTATATAGGCGAGATCATAGGCAAGCGTGGCATCATTGGCTATGATGTTTGAACGCATCTGATTATACTTCATTTACTATTTGTGTACTCTTGGACCACGTGTGATGAGATAAATATCTCAATAAAATAGATAATGTGTGAACTTTTTTTTTAAAGTGTTTTCCTAACTTTCATGTCTTCCTAATGCAGGGTGGAAGTTCAGTGTACATACAGTAAAATAAAGCCTATATAGGAAAGCTAGTAAACCTGGATTCGGTCCTTTCTAAAATAGACTCTAGGTGGGGTTGTTGCTGATTGCCATCAGGATGGCCGCTGTGGGCAGGTACTGCCTGGTCCTGCACCATTCCCACAGTCGGCTGCAGATCAGACTTGTTAGGATCTATAAGGCAGTCACTGACTAATTTTTTGGTCCCGAAACATTAATTCCTAATAACCACCAGTCTTTTTTCTATTACATAACACAGTAATGTATCTCTCTGCAGAGCCTTTGAAAGCGAGCATATAAATTTTATTATAAAAGTAATATTCTAAAGGGAGCTCTGGTGGCCTAGTGGCAAGAAGCTTGCACTGCAACCCCTAAGGCAAATGGTTCCAATCTACCAGATAATCTGCTGGAGAAGGAAGGACAGTCTCCTCCTGTGCTAGTCAGATCTGACTTGACAGCACACAACAACAACAAAACCCCAAAACAAATAATAATGATAAATGTTAGTAGTTGTAGAGGGGCTTCAGGCCTTTTGTTCATAGGGTCACTCGGCAATCAACAACAACTCTCATTGGAAAACATTTAGGAAGTACAAGTATTGAAGAAAATAAAAGTCACCCTTGATCTATAACTCAAAAGATAGGTGACAGGCAGTGGGCATATTGTTAATATGCAAAATAGTATGTAGATATTTTTACTGTTGTCTTACATATGAAATGTTAAGTAACAAGATAATCATTAAGTATAGATGCACTGCTGACATTTTAGTATCTTTCCAGTCTTTTTTCAATAAATATCTTTTTTAAAGGAATTCTAATGTATAGATTTTAGATGTGAAGACATGACTTCTTATTGTTGTTGTTATGTGCCGTCAAGTCGCTTGCGACTCATAGCGACCCTACGTACAGTAGCCCTAAACCCTGCTCTGTCCTGTGCCAATTGCACTGCCTCTGACACACCCACTGTAGATGTTGAATAATGTCCCTCATTGACTATACTGTAGCCACCCCCTTATTCAGCATTTAGCTGTTTGCTTTAGTGATTCTAGGATGGTGTTACTTACACATCTTGTATGATTTCTCATTAGTTTCTTAAAACTGGAATTCTTATGTCAAGCTCTTGACACATACCACCAGATTGCCCTCCAGACAGTTGTCCCAATTTATTCTGCCACACAAGTGTATGAGGTAACCCATTCTCCTGCGTCCTTACCCTTACTCTAGAATTAACCATTTTTAGAAATTGTGTTATTTTAATAGATGAAAACAAATTACCTAACTTAAACTATTTAAACTTAGATTACTTAACTTACAGTATTTAATATAAGATTATCTAATACCTGGTCAAGAATTGAATACATCAGAAATAGGAAAAGCATATAACATCCAAAGCACAGAAGGCTGAGGATGAATTTCTTCCTCTTTGCAGTTTAGGAAAGTGACTAGTGGATAAAGTATCTGAAAAACAATCTCAGTCAATCTTTCATAGGTTAGAGCAGAAACATGAAAGAAGTATTTAAGAATAAGGAGGCCCTGCATGAATCATCAAATATTGGCCACACTCTTAAAGAGGATAAAGGATAATTGCTTTTCTTTTTTCAGAGTGGAAGACAGTATCCCAGGAGTCTGCACCACAGGAAAACATTTCTGAAGAATCATTCCAGAACCCAGGTGTAGAAACCATTTCTGGGGAGTCAGACCACAGGAGCAGTGAATTTGGGAAGAGCTTCAACCTGAGACTAGTCCTTTCTCCCCAACAGAGAGTTTCTCCAGAAGTGAGACTTCATAAATGTGAAATATATCCAAAAAGCTTCAAGAATTTGGATCAAATTAAGGCTCACAGAACAAAACCATACACATGTAATGAATGCGGCAAAGCCTTCAGCTACTGTTCATCACTTTCTCAGCATCAGAAGAGCCACACTGGAGAAAAGCCCTATGAGTGTAATGAATGCGGGAAGGCCTTCAGCCAGAGCTCATCTCTTATCCAGCACCAGAGGATCCACACTGGAGAGAAGCCTTTTAAGTGCAGCGAATGTGGGAGAGCTTTCAGCCAGAATGCCAACCTCACAAAGCACCAGCGAACGCACACTGGAGAAAAGCCCTACAAATGCAGCAAGTGTGAGAAAGCCTTCAGTGACTGCTCGGCCCTCGTTCAGCACCAGAGAATCCACACTGGGGAGAAACCTTATGAGTGCAGTGACTGCGGAAAGGCTTTCCGTCACAGTGCAAACCTGACAAACCACCAGAGGACTCACACTGGGGAGAAGCCGTACAAATGCAGCGACTGTGGGAAGGCCTTCAGTTACTGTGCAGCATTTATTCAGCACCAGAGGATTCACACAGGGGAGAAACCCTACAAGTGCAGTGCCTGTGGGAAGGCCTTCAGCCAGAGTGCAAATCTCACAAACCACCAGAGGACACACACTGGAGAGAAACCCTACAAATGCAGCGAGTGCGGGAAGGCCTTCAGCCAAAGTACAAATCTTATAATCCACCAAAAAACCCACACCGGGGAAAAGCCATATAAATGTAACGAGTGTGGGAAATTCTTCAGTGAGAGCTCAGCCCTCATTCGACATCACATAATTCACACTGGAGAAAAGCCTTATGAATGTAACGAGTGTGGGAAAGCCTTTAACCAGAGTTCATCCCTTAGTCAGCATCAGAGAATTCACACTGGTGTGAAGCCTTATGCATGCAGCGAGTGCCAGAAGGCCTTCAGGTGCAGCTCCGCTTTCATCAGACATCAGAGACTCCACATTGGAAAGTAACTGCAAAGTAGAAACCTCAAACTTATAAACTTATCAGAAATGAGTGGTGATCTTGCAGATGGAGTGAAAGCATCTCACTCTGAGGTTTGGTCTGTAGGCCAGAGCCACATGCAAAATCACCATGAATAAACATGTCACTTATGATTTGCATATTACAGAACATGTTAAAAGCTTTCTTTAAAAAAAAAGAAAGAAAAAAAAGCTTTCCTTAAAAGTACTCAGAAATTAGAATTTAAAGGATCCAGCTGCCCAACTCAGATTCATTAACTTTTATTATTTTTTTAATTATTTTTTTAAATTATTATTACTTTTATTCAGCATGTAAAAGAATGTTTTCTGTTAATTAATAGGCACTCCACAATCTATTAGGAATAACTGATTAATCAGTGCTTATTTGAAGTGCCTTCAAGGCTAAGTGTCTAGGCAACTCCTGTCCTTGAATAATGAAGGCTGCTGCAAAAGGTGAACCAACAGCAGAGCTTGATATTGTTAGGTGCCATCATATAACTGATGCTAGATGACCCTCCAGATTTTCAGAGGCTGTAAATCTCTTGGAGACTTGTCCATCTTTCTCTCACAGAAGAGCTGGTGGATTCAAGCAACCTGCCTTTGGGTTGGCAGTGCAACTTCTTACCCAGTCAAAAGGCCATAAGAGCAGATCATTGACCAGGAATTATTTCTCCACCAAGGTATCAGATTTGGGGGAGTAAATGCAAATGAAGAATCTCTAGGATCAATTACTAATAGCCTTCTTGTTTCAGAGTGGTGGTGGTGTTCTTAGGTGCCGTCAAGTCAGTACCACTCATAGCTATCCTATGAACAAAAGATCATTCTCACACTGCCTGACACAGAGCCCACTGTGGCAGTCACCATGTCAGTCCACCTGGTTGAGGGTCTTCCTCTTCTTCGCCAGCCCTCCAACTTTTCCAGCATCATGTCCTCCAAGGAATAGCCCCTCCTAGCAACATTCCCAAAGTATGTGAGGCAAAGCTTCATTATCTTGCTTCCAAAGAGCACTCCAGCTGAACCCTCTCCAAGACAACTCTCTTTGTTCTCTTGGCTGTCCGTGGGATGTTCAACGCTCTTCTCCAACACCACAGCTCAAAGGCATCAATTCTTTTTCTGTCATCCTTCTTCATCGTCCAGCTCTCAGATGCATAGCAAGTGATCGGAAAGACTATGGCCTGAATCAGATGCATGTTAGCCTTCAAACTGACATCATTACTCCTCAATCATTTGTAAAGGTCCCTAACTGCGTATTTTCCCAGTGCAATGCATTTCCTTATTTCCTGACTGCTGGTACCAAGGGTGTTAATTGTGGATCCAAGCAAGATAAAATATTGACAGTTTCAATGTCCTTTCCATCATGATGTTGCCTATTGGTCCAGTCATAAGAATCTTTGTATTCTTGACATTGAGATGCAATACTTACTGAAGGATGTTCCTTGTTCAAATACAGACTGCCAAAAGAATAAACAGATGTCTTGTAGAAAGTGCAGTCAGAATGCTTCTTGGAGGCAAAGATGAGCTTATTTTCATATTTTTCACAGGTTGTTATAGTTGTTAGGTATTGTCAAGTCGCTTGCAACTCATGTTGCATGATCCTATGTATATGACACATCTGAACCTTGCTCTATCTTAAGCCAATCTTATTGTCTCTGACACACCATTACCCCAGTCACTGAGTCAATCCCTCTCATCCAGGGTTTTCCTCTCATGCTGTCCCTCCACACTCCCAAGCATGATGTCCCTCTCCAAGGACTAGTCCTTCCTTGCAACATGACCAATGTCAGATGGAGCTTCAAAATCCTTGCCTCCAAGGAGCAGCCTGGTTTCACCCTCTCCAGAAAGAACCTGTTTGTTCTCTTCAGTACTTCTCCAGCACAACTCAAAGGCAACAATTCTATCATCCTTGGTCACTGTCCAGCTCTCTGATGCAGCAAGTAATTGCAAAGACAATGGCCTGTATCAGGAGCACCTTAGTCTCCAGACTGACATTGTTGCTCTTCAGTACTGTGGAGATGTCCTTGACAGTATGTTATCCCAATGCAATTCACCTTTTGATTTCCTGGCTACTGGTACCAGAGTGATTGTGGAGTCAACCAAGCTGAAGTGGTTAAGAATCCCAATCTCTTCACTTTCATGATGCTGCCAATCACCCCTGTGGTGAGAATCTTTCTTGATACTGAGTTTCAAGCCATATTGAAACCTGATCTGCAGCAAATGAACAGGTTGTTAGGAGAGGCTATTTCTTGGAGAAGGACATCATGCTTAGAAAGGAGGAAGGTCAGAAAAAAAAGAAAACCCTCAACCAAATGGTGACCACAGCAGTGGGCTCAAGTTGTCAGAACTGATGAGGATGGCAAAAGATAGGAGCAGGTTCAGGTTTATAGGGTTGCCATAAGTCATACTCCATTACACCAAACATTTCAGGAAGGTTATGTACTTTTTTTTTACTTTTATTGTATTCTTTTTATGTGTACCGTCAGATCAGATCTGACTGGTACAGGAGGAGACCCTCCTTCTCCAGCAGAGCATCTGGTGAATTTGAACTGCGTATCTGGGATTGCAATTCAGCGTCTTGCCACTAGGCCACCAGAGCTCCCCAGGAAGGTTATGTACTTTAGAATGTTGGCATGTAAGGTGCTCATGTAGTCTGTATATACAGTTGTATATACCAAAAGTTCTATGTACCAAAGGTGGTACCTATGGTGGTTCAAATTCATCACTCAGTGGGAGGAAGGAGGGCAATCTCAAACCGGCAGGGTCAGCTAGGGGTTGGTTTTGAATCTAGGGCAAGGAGTTTAAGAATACTGATGTAGCGTCTGCTGCTCGGGGATAAAGCTGCCCGGATTTCTTTACCTGGCTGTCTCTTACTTCCTCGTGTGCGCTCTTTTACGTCGTGTTTCACAGTAGCGGGCGTTTCCGGAGCGCTGCTGATACATATTGAAATTTGAAGGGGGAAAGCAGTACTTAAAGGGACGCAATTTCGGAGGAATACAGTCCTCGTCTGGGGATTTTAGAAACCCTCCGGTCCATCATGAAGTTCCAGTATAAGGAGGACCATCCTTTTGAATATCGGAAAAAGGAAGGAGAAAAGATCCGGAAGAAATA